CTTTACCAAGGTCTAATAAAAATTCGTTAATTTATAAAAGTGAGATATTGCCAAGTGTTTCAAAATGAATAATATGTCGTTACAGCACAATGATCTTACTACGTTGTACGTGTTACGCAACTCGGGACAGTCGTTGGGATTTATAAATCAGATGAAGTCAGTTTCGTTGGCCGCGCGAGAAATTACGTAGGCGTCGCCTCCGGAGACTTCAATGCCAGATATGAAACCTTCGCTAGTACGAACCTCGCCAGATGCTGATGAAGCCATAGCCGTATCTCTATATCTCTTTGTACACGATACAAGGTTGACGTTTTTGTGCTATTACAAAAAATGTGAATGGCACAAAATCGACCATCTTCGACCTGTGGGCTGCTTTATCATGATCATAAGAATATATCGAGAATAGCTCTGCAGAGAGCTTTAAGAGAAAACAAAAAGGAATAATTAAATATCGATGGCCATAAGTTGCCAAAGACTACTGCGATAATAAAAATTCTAATTTAACATGTGTTTTATGATTCATTGTCACTACAAAATTGCTGAAATAAGATTCAGAATACTTAGATATCTAGATTAACTATGCAAAATTATTCAACAAATTTGGTATTAAAATTAAAGATGAGCATTTTAAATTCTATCTACGAGTTGTTTACATTGAAATAGCTCAAGTAAGTTAACAACACAATTTTTCGACTACATTGCAACAATACAATCCCACAAATCAAAGTGTAATGTTGCAAAAATATGAAATTACAAAATTTCTAATGTTCTATTCGTTAAGTTTATAACTGCGCTTCTCGCGTGTAAAAATTGAATAAAATATAATAACTATCGGCAACTATTAGTAATTATTTATTTGCTTTTTTTAAGATTAAGATACAACGATCAAAAATGCAGTGGAAGTTAAGAGGAAACTTTTGCACATAGTGGAAAGTTAAAAATATAATTGCAATATGGCATCGTTATCGGTCGTAAAACCGTCTCATCAGTGGCCACCAAAAATTTCTTGTCGTTACCCCTCGATCATTAAAAGATTCGGGAACTGATGGCACACACGACGGAATCGTCCACGGCCGCGGCGTCCATCGGCCGGCTCGTATTTTCGGAGGTCAGTAACCAGAGGAGATATGGAAGACGCGTTCGTTCGCCGCTCAGCAAGGAGGGAGACGAAAGAAGAGTCGTACGCGCGTGTACATTCGAGGAACGTTCCAACGAGGACAGAGGAAAATGCTCAGACCAGAGGAGGCAGAGACGGAGACGAAGAAAAAAAGAAAAGACGCAACGAATTGACAGGGAAAAGGACAGAAAGAGAAACAAGACAAGAAACATAAACGAGAGAGAAGAAGACGCGGAATAAGAGACAGCTAAAAAAAGTTAGAGACAGGGAAAGGGAAAAAAGGAGAGACAGAGAAGAATGCGTGAAAAAGGAACTAGGAAAGATAGAGCAAGAGACAGAGCAAAAGAGACCAGAAGTGACAGAGTGGGAAAGATGGAAAGAGAAAGAGAGGAAAAAAAAGCAGCGTAAGAGCAGAGGAAAGACAAGATAAGAGACAAGAGAGAAAAGAGAGAAGAGAACGCGAGCTACCGCGGAAGGAGAGGGAAACCGAACGCCGGTCGAAGAGGAGTCGCGGCGAAGAATGAAACGGAGCGAGCCGGCGATGAGCGCGAGGGAAGAAGGAGCGACGATCGGAGGAACACAGGGTGATAAGGAGGACGAGGGGTGGGGAAAAGGTGAGAGAGAGAGGGGAGGGAGGGAGAGCATTCGAGTACGGGTATTCGGGTGCCACGTTACGGAGTTAGGCTGAAAGATGCTCGATCGCGACGTCCCAACGATGGGACGATGACGCCCGCGTCGGTTCGCGTCTGACAGATCCGCGCACGTTGCCACGAGGCGCGCGGATAAAGCTCTCACGCACACACCTCCCCCCCCTCCCCCTGCCCCCGCGTCGATTTGCGCGCGGACATCTGGAGGTTTAACGTGCGGTTGTGCATGTGTGCATTGCAGATGCGGCCTCGTTGCTGATCCGATCAGGACGAACGTTGCCGACGACGAGAAAAGCGGAGGCAAGACGCGCCACGAGGAGAGATCGGTGAGAGAGACAGAGACGAGAGGAGAAACAGGTAGAGAAGAGAGCGTAGGAGGAAGCGCGTGGCGAACCGAGGAGGAGGAGGAGGAAAATACGTTCCCTGGACGAACAGAAGCCGCATCACGTCCGATCATGACGCAGCAAAGCGGCGCTGGGTCACCCCAGCAGTTCTGCCTGCGCTGGAACAACTATCAGACTAATCTGACCAATGTCTTCGACCAGCTCCTACAGAGCGAGAGCTTCGTGGACGTGACCCTGGCCTGCGACGGGCACAGCGTCAAGGCGCACAAGATGGTCCTGTCAGCTTGCAGTCCGTACTTCCAGGCTCTGTTCTTCGACAATCCCTGCCAGCACCCGATTGTCATCATGAAGGACATTAAGTGGCCGGAGCTGAAAGCTGCGGTCGAATTCATGTACAAGGGCGAGATTAACGTCTCTCAGGAGCAGATCGGGCCGCTACTCAAGGTCGCAGAGAGCTTGAAAATCCGCGGCCTCGCGGACGTCAATAGCGAACAGGAGCTGACGTCTCGACCGAGCCTGGAGGAAGCCGCGACCGCGGCAATGCAGCGGAAGAAGCGCCGCCGGATGTCCGGCGAGCGCTCGCCGTCCGGCAACAGTCCGGATCGCGTCGGCTCCGGCAGTATCGTCGACGACCAGGACGTGATCGGCAATGTCATCGTGCCGGAGATACACAACATGGTGCCGCCGACCGCCAGTTCGACACCGAGATCTATGGGTTCGCCTAGCACGCCCAGCATCTCCGTCACCCCGCAAATAAATCTGCAGGAGCTTCCGGTCTCCCTGCCCTTACCGCCACCGCCGCCGCCACCGCCGCAAGGACAGCAGAGCTCGCATCCCCTGCCGACCCACCACGTGTCCGGCCACGTGACTTCCGGTCCGCACGCGCCCGTCAACCACCTAGGCGCCCACGGCCAGCAGCTCAGCGTGCAGCAGCAGCAGCAACAGCAGCAGCAGCAGCAGCAGCAACAGCAGGCACCGCATCATCAGCAGGGCGCCGGCGGTCAGCCCGGCACCGGCGACGACCTGGAGATCAAGCCCGGCATCGCGGAGATGATACGGGAGGAGGAAAGGGTGAGTCAAGTTCTTTATCTCTGTAATCCTCTTAGTTCCTCGTCTTTATAATGCGCGAGAAATTCGCGGCCGGGAAATTGGCACGTTAAATCGCCGAATAATACGAGTAGATAAGTCAATCTCTTCGCGATGATTTCGGAAAAGACCCTTTAAACGTCGGAGAAATTAATTAGTGTTTATTTATACAAATGTTAACATTGCAAAAGTGGCAAAGGTAGCTTTCCGTAATGCGCGATAGGGTTAAGTCAGATTTATATAAAACGTCAAAAGGTTTTAGACGCATCGTAATAGACGTTTTGTTTTAATCACAGAAAGCGTTTTTTTTTGCATCTCTGCTATTATATCATATTATTACGGAAGCGTGTCTGAGAATCATTGTTAAACGAATGTTTTCTCATACGCAGGCCGATACTGTTTTGTACGATTTATCTTTTTTTTCCCCGGACGAACATTTGTCTTTGCACGCGTCGCTGCCGATATGTAATTTTCGATGCAAATTGTACAACAAGAAGTCCGTAATTACATGGAGTGTTGTAATTAGGAGATTTTTATGTCCATGATAACGCCGAATCACTCAGATATATATTCCGATGTGCTGAATGTAGTTTTCCTGTTTTTATGCTGGAAGAACATTATTTCTCGCCTTGCCGAAGATGAATTAGTAGAAATATAATACAGGAAGGAGAAAAAAAATTGGAATTATACTTGTTATTAACCGGAATAAAAAAGAAAAAAGCATTTCCGTCAGAAGTAACGTTAGGTATGATCTAAGAAACGTATCGTTGAAAGAATCGATTAGTTCCATGGAATTTAAATGAAGTTTTTACACACTTGCATCTGCATGATTTATACGTCTAAATTAAATTTATTAAGAACTTTTGCGTATTTTTTTATATATGTGATAAATATGATATATATGAAAAATTATACAGCCAATCTTCTAATTTAAATTATGGCACGTTACCAAACTGGCAGTCGAATTTTACCGCCGACAATATAAATAACCGAGTAAACAAAATTGTTGCTGCCGCAATTAAAAAATTGAAAATTAAAAATGTATATATTTAAACTCACTCCAATATCGAATAACAAATAGAAGTAAGAAGAAATATACCAATATTTGTCCAACATTTAGAAATAATTCGGCAACGCGAGAGTCAATTAAAAGTTTCCCCGGCCGATCAGAACGCGCCGTCGCGAATTGAAATAAGAAACGACGGCGTCTCTCCCGCGCGGCCGCAAACTTCTCCTCTCGACCTGAAAAGTTTCACGCTCCGAGGCGGTTAACCCGAAATCGCGCCAACTCCATTTTCCCGATAGCGGATGAAGATGTTTCCCCGGATGTCTAGACAACCGGCCGGCCGGTCGTTAACGAGAGCACCACAGCGGCTTCGCGTTCCACACGCGCCTCGCGTCATTAGAGCGTCGCGTTCATCCTAGTCAAGGCAAACAGCCGACACCCGGACGGTTCTCGAGGAAGGCAACGGCTCTCTCTCTCTCTCCCTCTCTCTCTCTTTCTCTCTATCTATACGGCGGTATACCGTATAATTGGCCGCTCTTTCGACGGTGGCTCGGAAAAGTCGCGCGCGCGACACACGGGCGTCGAGTCCGCGGTGACGCCAATTATACAGGAGCGCGGGACGAGTTTCGCGCCGCGACCGGTTCGCGTTCTGACAGCCGCGCGCGGAAGCGGCGAGAAAAGCGGGCGGCAGCGAACGAGGGCGGGAAAGAGAGTCCCGTGCGCTTTTCCGCGGCGGGCGGAGGAGGGCTATCCCAATTACCCGGCGATTGGCTTCGACGGTATGCGCTAATTGAGAGTATCAATGAACGTCAATGAGCGCAGTCAATATTTGGCCGGGGATGCATCCGGCCGAGCGTTTTGTAACGTTCTTTTTGTTAAAGCGGATGACAAATATTGACCGCGCTCGTTCGCGTTCGCGCGCGTACGTGACACAAACATACATACACATGCACACCGCGGGGCCGTACGCACGCACGGCAACACACACAGCGTCGATTACATACACGCACACACCTGGGGTATCGACTGTTCTCGTTAATTACATCGGGACGACGGTGTCTCCTGCATTATTTATCATCCGCTACCGGCGCAAGTTATTAAGCGTGCGGCTAGTTACAAGCCGTTTTGTAACTAGCACGACGACCGTCGGACGTTGGTGCCGGGTTACGCTGACTTAAACTGAACAGCCAACTCCGCTTAACGAAATGTTCTTTCTCCAATTTCAGTAAGCAGTCGTGTCTTTTTTTTCCCCGTAATATTGAATATATAATTACGCCTTTTTTTTTTTTTTTTTTTTGTAACGTTGAGATCTGCGCAAGCCTCATTATATCTTGAACTCAAAATAATTATATATTTAATTCCACTTGCAAAAACTATGAATCTAGAATTGCACAATCTGAGATAAACACTCTAATGCATTATTCAAGATTTACCTTATCCAGATAATACACATAATATAATTTACATAGAGAACTACGTTTTTATATTACTTACGTAATGTAATGCGATATACATAGGATATAAATCTTATTGTATGAATATATATCTCGAACGCGGTATATATAATTCGAATATTATACCTGGAATATCGAGTTTCAATGCTAATCAGAGAGTCAAATACGTTTAATTAGTATCTTAACGGATGTTGTTAAATGCGCATAATCAATATCGCAATGTTTTGTCTGACCATGCGGACTGTGAACTTAATTTGTCATACGTACACGCATCCGGAAGAGACTCTTCAACGGGGATGACGGGGATTCGTGGTAAACCCTTGCAAACACGTCGAATTTTCACGTCCGGGATCGGGACCGCGCGCGGGTATCAAGAGAGACTGCCGCGCCTCGTGTTTGCGCGCGGGCACTGTTTTACGAGCGTTTACACGCGAAAAAGCGCGCGCGCGGTGCCAGAGACCGACTTCGCGCGTCAGCCGAGTTCAATCTAGGAAATTAAAGTGAGCGACCGACTCGCGGCCGGCAAGCAGCAACATTATTTTTCTCTCTCGCAGGGCGCGCGGCTCCGCCGCGTCGTGACGTAATCCGCTATACGTATATAATGGTTATAACATTCCGCGGAATTCCATTATGTTAACGCAACCACGTTCCAATTCTCCGGGCATGCCTGCCTGCCTGTGCGCGCGTATCGTAAATGCGCACCGTTATAGTATCGCAACTATTCCGCGGTGCCTTTCCGATTAAAATACCTAATTGATGCGGGCGAAGCCAATAGCGGACCTCCGGTGATCGCAGAATGCCAACCTGCGAGAGCGCTGCCAAGCAACGTCGACGTGGAATTTTTCTTACAAAAATAATTCTTGAAGAAGAGAATAATTATGCAGGTGAATAAAAAGGCATAAAATGTAGTTATGAAAATTGTAGTAAATTCTGAAAGAAATATAAAAGGATTTATACAAGAAAAGAGAAAGCGCGCGATGTCTTTATAACAGTGTATCAGTATTTACGTGAAAGTTATAGATCTAATTTATTCAAGATAAAGAGAAACCTAAATTGAAGGCCGCGAAGGAGGTGATGAAATAAGTTGGAAAAAAAAGTACAGACAAATAATATTTTCTGATGTAAATGTGCTTTTTTAATATAAATTTTATTCTTGTAACTATATTCTCTAACAAAGAGCGCAAATCTCGATTGTAGATACAGTCATTGCGAGAATCGCACTCGGCTTTGTGTTCATCAGACAGTTTTTGTGTGCAGAATCGATTTCTCAATAGCAAATCTTATCTCCGAAGTCTGCAAAGTCCTCTCCGGGAGAAGACACTTCTCCCACTTCAAGTTCATTATAAATACATCGAGACGAAATTATCATGTAAGAAATTCATCGAATACCACGGCTGAATTCCTCGTAGGATCTGATTCTTTATGTCGATGAAGAACGCACCGATGAAAACTACGCGTCTTTCCCCTCCGCATTGTTCGAAATTACCATAAAAATATAAGTTTAGCAATTATCGTTGATATTTTGTAACTCTTGATATTTTATTAGACTCGGTCCTCGAATATATTAACTAATATAATGTAACGGAATAGCGTTTCTCCTCCGCCGATCGACCTTCCGAGAGAGTCTCGTCGAAAATTAGGGAATCAACAGACCCTGAGTTATGAATCGTCCGCCTCCGGCGGCGAAAACTGGAGACAACAATTATTTATACCTCGAATCGGGCTCGGGACCCGATGAACGCTCACAAGTATGTGTGTGTGAATGCACAGCATCCGATATAAATATAAATGATATTTCATCTGCCGGTGCACGGGGACCACGATATGTTTGTCGCAATCGCTTAATCGTGCCCTAATCCCACCGTTTAAGCGTATAATCGATTGCACACCAAAAAACAAGTTTCTATTATTTGCTGTGGAAAAGATATCGATGAACAATAATTAAATGTTTAGTAATTATTGTTATAATCATCGTAAGTATTTTACAATTGGCATGTTTTTAATAAGTAGAAAAAATATAGAATTTGACGATATAAAAAGAATAAGCTTTGAAATTGCATCAGGATTTCTAAAACAAGAGATGTGCTAGGAACAACGTGAATCGTGCAGCATCAAAATACACTTCCAAAAACCATCTGAAATGATCGCGAGATTCGCTCGGTCGGAGATCGACTAGCGAAAAGCGCGACACTCGGCGAGGGTGACGACGAGAGAGGAGGGAGGGGACGAGCGCATCCCCCGAAAAGTGTACACAGTGTACAACACGAGAAGCAGCAAAGCGTGATCACGCGGTCGGTGGAGCTCGAAAGGGCGGGTCGAAAAAAATTTAATCTTCCCTCGCATTATCCTTTTTGGCAATAACGGCTTTACCTCCCGGATCGTCCTGCCCTGCTATCCCCGTCCTCCCGTTTTCGCTTGCACTCTCTCTCTCCCCCTCTCTCCTCCCCCTC